GATCTATTAGATTTAGGCATAGATTTATTTGGAATCTATAAACATGTACCTCATCATATTTTACATGTTGAATGGAGTATTGAATTGGTGAGCCAATTTTGAGGGGGAATTATGTTCTTAACGTGTGATAAAGAAGGCCATTAGTGCGTCTTTACATGCAGTGTCGGAGAGAAGGGTAATAGTGCGTCTTGAAGTCACAGTGTCTAGGAGAAGGCCGCAGTGCGTCTGCTAGATACATCTATCGGGGATAAACGAAGGCCGCAGTGCGTCGTTTATTCGCACCCACGTATAGGTGAACACACGATCCGTCATCATTGGTGCTTTCATTGAGAGGGGCTGATCGTGTGGTTATCTATCTTATCTTTTTATTTTTTTCGGTTTTGCCTTTTGGTGAGGGACCGAATTTCTCTTATTTTTTGAGTCGAAATTTTCGAATTCTTTCGAAATTTCATTATAACAAAAAAGTGTCATCTTGTTAGTCCTTTGTTATTTTTTTCGGCTAATACCTTTTGTTTAGGGGCCGAATTTCTCTTTGTTTCGATTTTTTAGAGTCTTGTTGGGGGTTCAAATTTTTCGAATTTTTTCCCATTTATTTTTCGTTTTTAGAGTAAAAAAAAAAAAAAAAATTTATGATGTCAAACCGCGAAAGAATTCAAGCCTTGGAGGATAACATGAAGATTATCGGCGATGGTCAACATGCTACCAACGAGAACTTGGGAAGGATCGAACTTATGGTCCAGGACTTGGCCGGGCAACTAACGCGCATGAACACGCGGCCAAGGAGAAGGCACGGGTCACGGTCCACGGCAGTGAGCACTGGGACCGAGCGCGAGGATGATCGCCGATCGCGGGGCTCGCACGCATCACACGCGGATCACCAACGCGACGACCGGCGACGGCATGGTGAACGCGCACACCATCACCCGAGGCACGAGGAGGATTACGACCGACAGTCGTACGCATCGTACGCATCGCGGGCCACACGCGATGAACGCCGAGCACGACGCGATGACCGAGAGCGCTACGACGAGGATCGGCGACGGCGCGAGGGGCGCGATAACCGACGTCACGAGCGCGATGAGCAATTGGACGAACGGGCAGGTACACGACCGGAAATTGTGATGCCCACGTTCACGGGGACAGACCCGGATGCATGGTTGAGTCGGGCTGTGCAATTCTTTGAGATCAATGATGTGCCAAGATACGAACGAGTTCAAATTGCTGCCTATCACCTTGATGGGGAAGCAAACGTTTGGTGGCAATGGGTGATGCACAAAAACCATGGCGAGCACATGCGATGGAGAGATTTCGAAAAAGAGCTTATCACGAGATTTGGCTCGAGTGACTACCACGATTACAACGAGGCTTTGTCAAGGATCAAACAAGTGGGTAGTCTAAGGGATTATCAAAAAGAGTTCGAGCGAATCGCTAGTAGGGTACGAGACTGGCCCGAGGCTGTGTTAGTAGGAACGTTTGTTGGAGGACTTAAGGCTGAACTGGCAGCCGAAGTGAGGTTGGACAGGCCAGGCTCGATGCGAGCAGCCGTTGAATCGGCTAGACTGCACGAGGAACACCATGTTGCGGTACGCAAGGCCAAGCCGAGCGACGCGCGTACGGAGATCAAGCGCACAAACGCCGCAACCGAGGAACAGCCAACGCGAACCGAAAACAAACCGATAGGCGAGATTGTTCGAACAACGAGCAACATACGACAGCTTACCGACGAAGAGATGCAACGACGACGAGAAAAAGGCCTTTGTTATTCGTGCAACGA